CTATAGAAAAGAATTTTGAGATGAATTTGTCGTTAATGAATATATAGTATGTGGATCAGATGGTTAGATGGTGATAGGTCAACCTACTGGGTCAATTCTAGGCATAGGATATCTAACCCATGATACAGTGTTTGTAATTCTACGGACAATATTTATGATAACTAACGCCCCGTTTAGTTCATAGGAATAGGGGTTTAGGATGTGTTATTCTGATTCCAATTGTTTGGTTGTGTAGAATTGAAATTCTATTCTTATTCTTGCTGGAATAGCATTCCCCTAGAATGGCCCTTTATTCTTCTGAAATCTCATTAATGCTAGTTTTAATTTTCATTTCTATTCTTGTCTGAATCAGATATACTATGGAAATAAATCATTCCAATTCCGATTCCAATTCCATCTATGAATCAAATGGACCATAAAATATCTCTCATCATGATTTATTTTGATTTTAGAGACGATATTTCTCCTAGCTTTTAACAATTAGAAATGACAATAAGACAGGATAGGAATGGGGAGCCACTCTCCAACCCCATTCCTATCAATGGGAACAGGTTTCCCATTCCCATTCCAACAGAAATCCCCAATTTTCCGTTATTTTTTAAATTAAATATTATAATTTATAATCCTATCAAAATAGATTCAAATATATTTAAATATATTTTTTAGAAAAATTAATACAAATGTATTAAGCACAAATTTATATACATGACTAAGGAGTGGTGGGGAGCGGTCCCCGCCCTTTTCCCACCTGTGGGGATGGAAATTCCCCCTCCCGATATGCGCATCGTTCGTGCAGGGTGGATATGCGCCACACGTCCTTAAAACGTGTGCGTCATAAAAACGTGCGAGTCCCTCTCACCACCCTCTCGCTGAATCGATCCAACGCTGCATGCTGGTTCTCGATTTCGCATACATGGACCGGTCCGCCACGTCTCTCTCTCCTCCGCAGTCTCCATCCTCCCTCTCCCTCTCACTCCCGTCTAGCGTCAGGGTTCTACTTTCAACTGGCTAGTGACCAGAGAAACCAGCGATCGGCGACCGACTCGCATACCTTTTCTTGCTTCAGCCTTAAATCTTAATGGCGTACTGTTATCCTCTGCCTCCACATCTACGCCCGTTGGTTACTCACAAGGTCCCGTAGGCGCCACAACTTCCGCCGCAGCTGACACTGGACCCACATAGTCTTCACCACCTCCAACCCCGTCGCTTCCGCTTACACCGTTTCTCGGGGTCTTGATGCATTGGTTCTGAAAGCTCTCTCCATCTTCGTCTATTCCTCCGACACACACAAGGAAGTACTGGAATGCACCGTGTGCCTATCCGAGTTCGAGGAGAACGAGAAGGGTCGTCTCCTCCCAAGATACAAGCACAGCTTCCATATCGATTGCATAGATATGTGGTTCCACTCTCACTCTACTTGCCCACATTGCCGAAAACCAGTCCAACCCGATATTCCCGCCCCTGCGGCTGAAACTCCGGTTGAGGTCGTTATCCCTGTGAGCGAACCTCCCGAGACAGAAGTCCAGTCGATTACTGGGCTTTACCCAGGGTGTCACCACTATGAAAATGAAACAAGTCGCACCCTGCATGTCTTCTTCTTCCTCTTCCTCCTTCAGCACCGGCGGAATCAACGTCTTTAGGGTCCCGAAGGAAGCCATTAGAGCTGGCGGGTGTTTCAATTGAGGTGCCTAGAAGGAACAACGAAGGATTCAGAGGTGTGGATGAGGAGGTAGGCTTGGGATTGCCAGCAGGCCAGGGTTCAAGTCACCGGGAAGTCGGATTCTATCGTTAAAGAGGATATTGAGCAGAGATCAAAGAGCTGGACTTTCTTCTCCTGCGGCAATGATGCCGAGTTGCAGCTCTACCACACAGACCGTGGAGAGATTTAGGAAGATCCTTTCGGAGCTTGAGCGCGAGCAGAAGGGTAGAGAAGCTACGGAGAATGCAAAATCCGAGCTTCAGACCTCGTTCAATCGCTTGAAGGTGCTCGCGCATGAGGCAATCAAGAAGCGCGACGAGAGTGGGAGGCAGAGGGAGGAAGCGTTGCGTGAGAAGGAAGAACTTTTGAGATCCAATGAGAGAATTTCAGGGGAATTGGCGGAGGCTCTGAGACAAACAAATCAGTTGAGGCAAGGGGACGCTCATATGCTTGTCGAGGTTGCTGAGAACTGCGTCGGAAGGGGACGATGAAGACGCCGGTTGCTGCTCATATGCGATGTCAAAAGTCCGGCGGTTGAAGCAACCGTAGGTCGCGTGGCACGCTCTTACGCTGCACGAACGATGCCTTGACTGAGAGTGAAGCCGGACTCCGTTCCAACAACCTTTACAACCTTACGTTGGGAATATCTCCGTAGTTATGTGGTTTATTTTATGGGAGATATTCCCTCTGCAACCAAGGTTGCAAGGGGCTGCTAGAATGGTGTAAGGTTGCAAGGGGCTGTTCGAACGGTGCAAGCACCGGCTTGCCTTGACAGAAGTCGAACTGAAAATGATCCACATTCCCGACAGAGGATCATACAGGGATCCAAAAAATTGGGGAAAATTGCTTTGTGGACCGCGAAATGCTTAATTGATGCTTAGAGATTATCTTGACACTGATCCTCGTCAGCATGAAACGACCTGGTCAATGATCATACCACGACAGTGATCCCTTGCAAGAAAAGAATTCATCGGCTATTTTGCCAACAATCGGCAGCCGTGCATGCAGGGAGGCCAAGCGTTGGAATTTTGTTTACTTGCCACGTAGGTGAAATTGATGGCCAGATTAGGGCTTCTGTTCACCTACAATGTAACAATAAATTATTCACATTTCTTGTAGATTTGAGTCCAACCAACTTATTGAGAGACTCAAAATTATTAATAGATTTTAGATAATTCCCCTGATTAAAGGAAAATCAATAATTAATATCTCATGATCTAAATTTGAGGGCCAGTTGATCGCCTACTGTGGAGGAAATCAATCCTTCTAATCTTGCATGGATCAAGGGTGAGGGTCCAATTCAAAACTTCTCCAAATCAGTCCATTCAAAACGACAATAGTCATTTAATCACTTCAATGACCAAAATACCCCATCACCATTCCAAACATGTTTCAGTACCAACACAAGGTAGGGGTTAAGGTTCTGTTTGCTATCTTGCAGTTTCTTTATAAAGCGTTTTGGCGTTGATCAATAAAAATTAACGAGGATTATGAACAGTTAAATCATATGAGCCCCTTAAACTGAAAAATCAAAAGTACATGTCGGGACTGATCATTGCTGTTTAGAGTTGTTTTAAGTAACAAGAGTAATTTGTATTCATCAACTCAAAACATTTCTGATTATATAACATGACAATTTATATTTTAGGGAAAATTCTCAATTAGTACCTTGTATTTTGAGTTTAGTGTCATTTTGGTCTCTGAACTTTAAAATGTGACAATTCAGTACTCGAATTTTTAAAATGTGACAATTCAGTACCCACCGTTAGTTAGCCATTAAGTGACATTTGAGAAAATACAAATGCCCTTATAGTTTCATCTAATTTTTTTTTTATTAACCATCCATAGAAAAAATTAATAGTCCTAAATCCTTGTCTCTTTTATTCAAGAAATTTGGAGTCACCAAAATAACCGCTCAAACATAACCCTAACTTTCTTGAATGGAAGAAACAAGGATTTGGGACTGTAAATTTTTTGTCAACATTTGTATGGTTGATAAAGAAAATTAAATGACACTCGAAGGGCATTTGTGTCCTTTTTAAATATCACTTAACAACATGTTAACTAATGATTAATGGCAAATAGATACTGAATTGTCACATTTTGAAGGTTTAAGTACTGAATTATCACATTTTAAAGTTTGGAAACCAAAATGGCACTAGGCACAAAGTGAATTTCTCCTATATTTTAACATCGATTTCTATTGATCAACCAAAACATTTCAATTTAGCGAAGGAGTGGCAATGATATCAAACACAACCTACCTATCAACCTTTAAAGAGGTCTTTGGTTCCATTGCCATTGCCACATCAGTGCTATATCAGTCATTCAACTTCAGTGGTCGAATCCACTGTTTTGTTAGCCATTTTTAAGAAATAACCAAACAAAATGGTAAAACATCGCATCCATTCTTAAAAATCAGCATCACTTTCGTAAACATCATTTTGATTTTTGTTGGGAAAAGGTTTTGGCATCAATCCACAGTCAGGATTCATCCCGGGTGACTGATGTGGGTTATGAGCCAATGAAACCAAGCACCTCCAAACATTTCTGTGTTCTGAGCAAGGTTTTCAAAACCAGACCGGATCAGCTGGTAAAAATCAGGAACTCCGTTTTACCCCAGAATTGTTATTTTGCCAAAAACCATTGATTTGGTCAGCAAACCGCTAACCTGGGCAATCAAACTGTCCAATGGTTTTAGCCATTCTTTTTTTGTCAAAACAGGCCATCCATTCGATTCAAATGATCGAACCGGACTCCTGACCAGTTCTTTGTCCGATTCAATTTTAAAAACCTTGGTTCTGAGAAAATATTAGACCTTTGTAAATGGCAATGAAACAAACACCACCTAAGTGGACTCCAATCTTCACCCTAAATATCTCTCTCAAGTCTCAAAAGAGCCTATGATTATTTACCGAAAAAAATGGGGGCCCGTAATTGAATCAAAATCCATAAAAAAAGGAAGAAAATTTGCATTCAAATTCTCTCATTCCCCAACTTGATAACCTGGTAACCTTGTGTTCACACAAGTCACGACTATGACCAACCATTTTCTAATTTATCATCTATTCATCTCTATGAAATGGGTTGATTGAGGTTTTGTGCACTTAATTAATTTCAATAAAAAAACAATAACTTAATTTAGATGACAGTACAAAGTACAAACACTATTAGGGTTAGATCTATCAACGACAGAATCAAAAAAGGGTGGATGAGTAATTTAGCAGAAGCCAAGAAGGAAATTCATTTCTAGGCTTTTTTATGCATTCGGTAATCGGTATTCCCATCCAGAAATGGAAAAACCCACAGAAAGGGATGAAGGCATTCTGTTTTTCTGCTCTATTTATTACTGTTATTAATATTGATTGCTGTTATTAAATTTTAATTGATAGATGGTAGAACTTCAAATCTTTTTTATCTGTTCTTCCGGTGGGTTGTTGAAGAGCTTTCAATGCTCACAGCTCACTCTCCTTCCTCAAGCCAAGACCATCACAAACTTTCAACCATCTCCACTCAAAAGTCCTCGTAAACCACCTTCTGTGAACAATAAGAAAAGTTGTCTTTTGGGTTTTTGGTCAATGCATCTCTGTTTGTGACCCCACTTCTGCTTCTTTCTTCTTCCTCTTTTGGGCTTCTGGATCTCTATAAATTCAGCTGTCTTCTGGGTTCTTGCCACTTTCTCCATGGTTGAACACATGAATTAAGTGTTTGGTTCTCTGACTTTCTTATCTTTATCCCTTTTATCTTCTCGTCTCTTTTCCTTGCTGGGTTGGTGGAAGTAGCTCAGATGGGTGAGATCTCTGGAACTAATGCTAATTACGAGAAATCCATGGAAGGAGGAGTTGTGCTGAATGTCAAAGACAGTGAAGTCCCAGTCCCTCAAGAGGTGGGGGATCAGAAAACCAACGAAGATAAAGGCTGTAGTCTCTCTGTACCTTTCTTGCAGAAGGTTCTCTCTCTCTCTCTCTCTGGTTCTTAGTATTAATTTGATAACTATGTTATTGACTGTGAATTCGAACCTGGTTCAGTTGATTGCAGAGGTTTTCGGTACATATTTTTTGATATTTGCTGGGTGTGCGTCGGTGATAGTGAATTTGAGCAAAGACAAGGTGGTGACGTTCCCTGGGATATGCGTTGTGTGGGGACTAGTGGTGATGGTCATGGTCTATTCCGTCGGCCACATCTCCGGCGCTCACTTCAACCCCGCCGTCACCATCGCCTTTGCAACTTGCCGGAGATTCCCATGGAAACAGGTAAACAAGCAGAGCAATTAAGCAAGTAATACAGTGAATAGTGATCTCCCCTTCAACTTCAATTATGGCATCTGTCAGTAAAAGAAAATAGTTTTCTACTTTTCTAGCCTCCGGCAGGAGACATGATGATGATTAGCTTATCAATTAGTTCAGTTCTTCCAAAAATCTATGGGCCTACACGGCATTTTCTTTGGGTGGGCCAAGTGGGCCATATGTGGGCTCTCTAGCTTTGAAGTTACGTGTACGGTGTTTTTAGAGGTTGGGGTCCTATTGGAAATGATGTATTAGGCTTAAAGGAATCTTAGGGCTTCCAAATATAAAACATGCTTTTTAATTTTTTTTTATTCACCTTGCCGAGTGGGGGGTCTATACTCTTCCTCCCGACCGCCTGGAAAAATTATAAATAAAATAAATTGAATTCGTCTTTAAGAAATGGAGGAAAATTAGTCATAACTACCACAACTACCACAACTACCACAACTGTAGTGAGTAACGGCAAATCTCTTGGCACTGTCATGGGCTAATGACCCACATCTCATTTTCATTAGTGGGACCGACTACCTAAAGGGTGATGGACTCGTGGATTTTACTTTCTAGTTTCTGATAAACATGTCTACACTGTGAATTGTGTTTGGGCTTGATATAGAAATGCAATACAGGAATAGTCAATTGGGTTTTTGTAGTTTTGGATTTGAGGTTGGCTTACCAACCCAAGACCCACCAAGAGATTCCCTGAGATCAGATAGTGTAGAGTACTGTAGACCAGCAACTGATATTTGGTTGAAATTAAGGTTGGTCTTGGTTGATCATCCTCCTATCACAACCTAATGCAGCTTCAGTCTTCCATTGTTTCTGGTTTGAATCAGGTACTGATCTATCGTCTCTAATCCCCTATGCTTTTGTTTAATTCCACCATTTTTCATTCTCCATGGTGTGATGCAGGTGCCAGCCTACGTAGTCGCACAGGTCCTTGGCTCGACGCTTGCAAGCGGGACCCTTCGGTTACTATTTGATGGGAAGCCTGAGCACTTTTTTGGAACAATACCAGCTGGGTCGAATTTACAGTCATTAGTTCTGGAGTTTATAATCTCTTTCTATCTCATGTTCGTCATCTCTGGTGTCGCAACTGATAACCGAGCGGTTAGTTCTTCTGCACACAAGACTTAGAATTCAACTCTGAGGGTACATTTGGTTCATATCAGAATCAGAATCAGTATTAAAATCTCTTTAAATCGGAATCAGAACTCGAATTAGAATAAGTTGGAATGAGAACTTAAATGGGGAATGCCATTCCAGCAAGAATGGCAATAGAATTCCGATTCCGTCCAATCAAACAGTTGGAATCCATTTCGATTCAGATTCCAGACCCCCTACCCCCTATTCCTGCAACCTAAACAGACCCTAAATAGATTGGATTAGGCTTTTAGACTGCAAGAGCTAGGAGAACAGCTTCCAGCCTGCTCCAGTTGGATCAAGCATGGCTTGGGCTGGAAAATGCACAACTTCTACTCAGAGTAGAGATTTCTTTTCTTTGTCTGCTTTTCAATCTCTCAGAAAAAGGAAATTGATTTGTTGCAGATTGGTGAACTTGCTGGGCTGGCCGTGGGAGCTACTGTCTTGCTAAATGTGCTTATTGCAGGGTATGTTGATTTGTTAATTCTTAAACAAATTTGATTGATTGGATTGGTTAATTGAATTCATCTGCTTCATAATGAGGCCAATAAGAAAAACCTTTGCTGCTGTGTCTGATGAACAGGCCAATATCAGGGGCATCCATGAACCCAGCCAGGACTTTGGGACCGGCGTTCATAGCGAACCGGTTTGAGGGGATATGGGTTTACATGGTTGGACCCATTTGCGGGACGGTATCGGGTGCTTGGGCCTACAATATTATCCGGTTCACCAACAAACCATTGCGCGAGATTACAAGGAGTGGTTCTTTCCTCAAGAGCTTGAACTTTACTAAGAACTAAAAAAAGAAAAGAAGGCATTTTGTTTTCTTTGGGGAGGGGGGAGGTATATGTAACCTTTATACCTACAAACGATGAAAGCTTCTAATCTGTAGTTTTAATGGAGAAAGGCATCTCTTTCTCTTTAATTCTGTTTGACTGTTTCCATCTTTGTCATTTACCCATGATTTTGTTTTTTCTTTGTCAGCCTATCCCATCAGTCAGTGAATTAACTTTGGCAAAAACTATTTTGAAATTATTCAGCAAGTGATATATGGAGTTCTTTTTCATTTATGGTACATAGAATTTGCAAAATTCTGTAGCTCCAGATTCCACACATTCCCATAATTTATAAATGGAGAGAGAGAGAGAGATGATTTCAGATCGAGTTTCATCTAAAACAGAACAAGGTTCAAGTGTTCAACCTTAACTCAGGCTACATGTTCGAACTCATTGAATGAACAAGATGTAGTTCCCAAAACAGGGTCCCAAATAACTGGAGTGATCGAGATATCTGATGTAGAATAAACTCTCGAATGTCCCAATGTTTAAATGCCACCACTTCGAAAGAGCTCCGTGCTTCAAGACAACGCCTTTATGTCTAAAAGAAGAAGCTAGATTGCCCAAATCATAGCAAAAATAATGCATCGGTTATCAGTTTTTTAGGTGGTGTTTGGAATGAATGCTGTTCTCTCAGAAAAGAGTGCTGTATAGGTATGATGTTTTCTCAGAAAAAAGTTTTTCGGGTTTTTTATTTGGTATCATTGATGTTTCTGTCACATAGGCATTTTTCAATGCCATTTATCAGCATGCTATTACTATTACTAGCAATAGTAGAAAAAATGGGAAAACATCCTCTTTTCTCAGACCACATCTTTCCCAATTTCTAAAATGTGGTTTAAGAAAACACTTCTCCTAAAAATAGTTAACCAAACATCAAGCATTTTTCAAAAAATGGATTTCAATCATCATCAGCCGTTTTCAAAGAAATGGTATTGATGCCAAACACCTACTTAAATATCCCTTTCATGGGCGATTTGAATCCTACAGTGGCGAAGAAAATGCTTTATATTAGTCTGTTTTGCAGTAGAGCAACATGTCACCGTACAGAAGGACGTGCCACTGTACTAATGGACATGCGCATTTCAGGAAGTGACCAAAGGACCGTTTGATAACAGCTGACGTGGCATTACTGTACTAATGGAGAATAGACATCTAGCAACCATTACTGTTTTAACCTCTCAATCTCTCATCACTGTAATAATGGAGAATACAATTGAGGGAGGTTCTACATATTTCACCATGGCCCTCTCTACCACCAGCAACACAACGAGTGATTAAAAACACTGAGACTGCAGTGAGTATTGAACTGGCAAATGGCTGGTGTAATTTGCACATAAAAAAAGTGACTAAAAGAAAAAATGGCAGTTTCTGAAAACTAAGGGTGTCAATGGATTAGTTGTGGGTTGAACCCCTCCAAATCAAAATCAATTTAGACGATCAATAGATCCATCCACAGGCTGGGCTTTGGGCTCAACTTTACATTGTGTTGGGCTTGGGCTTTGGGTCAGGCCCATTAGAATTTTGACTAAAAACCAAACTCAAGCCTGACCCATGAACAAGTCTAAATAAGACAAATTGAATTGTCCAGACTGGTGCAAAGTATTTATTGGATTGAATTGGACCTGGACCATCTGTAAAGGATTTATATTGGACTGGATCGGATTGAACCAATACCCAGTCCATTGATGGGAGATAAGAATACAGGTGTCAATAAACGAGGCTTGAGTTGGAACGAATCTAAATTAAAACCAATTTGAACAGCTTGGACGGTCCAGAGTATTCATTGGATTGGACCTGGTCATCTGTAATGGATTGGACCAAATCCGGTCCAATTGACACCCCTACTGAAAAACCTCCTTGGTGGGCCAGAATCTAGAAATGAATCTACAGGAAGTACTGCCTACCTTAATAGATAAACTTGTAAGATCAGACTCCTTAAAGGCTTAAAGAATTAAATAGATTGCAGCACTAATATAAGCTCCATGTGTTAATGGCGGCTATACAGAAACAATGCAACCAAAGAATTGCTTAATATACAATGCTCTATGCTCAGCCAAGTCTATGGACAAGGTTTCACATGCTAATAGGTTATGATAAACATCAAATACCAAACCAAGAGCAACATTATGACAACAATAGTCCATGAATCTTCTTTGCAATTCTGAAAAATTCATGGAGAACAACAGCTCAATCATGAATCAACATTATCACAACAGTAACCCCTAATTCAGCTACCTTCAAACCAAGAGCACCCTGCTCTAAGGAGAGCTTCCAGAACACTTGTATTAAATGCATTTTCAGGAACAAGACCTTCCCAAAATCTATTGGCATGAACACAAGCTGTAATTACTGTTTTTTCCATCAGTATTCCAAGGTAGTAGTTCAAAGAGCATACTAACATCAACATGGATTTTATTTCTTGCAGCTTCAGCCTGTTAACCAAGATAAAGATGATCAGCAAAGCCATACATGGAACACAAAAATGTCATAACAGTAAATTTTATCTCTAAAAGTCTTTTTACAAGAAATTGGTTCAGGGAGAGCACCTATTACACATGGAAATGCAACCATAAAGACAAGCAGGCAAAGAACTACACATGGGCGTACACACAATCTTAGGGCAATGCATGATATCAGCACTCAAAATTTTAGAGACTTTAATTTTTCCACTTACTTTGTCAATGCGGTGCAAAATCATGCATACCCATTTATGCAGATGAATTGGGTATAAGTTGTATACATGTTTTCTGATCACACTGCTGACAATCTTTTCTTACAGGTTCTTGATGGAGAGGATGCATGGATCTCTGACTACTTTGATGTAATTACTGGTACAAGTATGGAGGTTTAGTGGCAGCCATGCTACAATGCCAGATCAAAACAAACAACGAAATCTTTGAGATAAACTAGGGGTCAGCACTCATTGTGGGACAACAAAATGAAAAACAGAGCCAAATCAAATCAAGATCTCTGGTTATGGAATTTTCGAAGCAAAGAGACATGGATATGGGCATATCAGTATCAAGGAGTTCACTCTGGTTTCCCAAGATATTGCATAGACATTTTGTTAACAGAGAAGCTTATCACTAGAAGGATCTCCAATCCTTGATATACATTTATTTAAAGAAAATAATCAGAGATCAAAGTTGAAAAACAAACTGTAAAACCTAAATGTGGTAACAATCATTCAAGTCAAATACAAGAGGAATTTTTTAGGAATACTAATTAGTAAACCCTCTGGATTGTATTTGTTGCTTTTTTTTTATCATCAGAATAAATTATTTTATTAGATGTAAAGAAATCCGTAGCAGTACAATATGATGACAGGGATGTCATCCCCAAGAGCTTATCACGTTACAGTTACAAAGAAATCCCAAAAAGGCTAATAAGAACCCAGCATCCCAAAATACATCAGATTACAATTTAGCCCAAAACAAGGCATCAGATTACAATTCGTTGCTTTTTTATCTAATTAAATTCTCTGTTTCTGAATAAAAAAAAAAAAAAACTAGTAATCTTACCCGAGATCTTGTCGAACTCCAATGAGATAGGTTCAAGTGATCAATTCAAACTTCTGTGGAAAAGATAATGAAAACCTGGTTAATATATGAATGTATGTGTGTGTGTGAAAGAGAGAGAGAGAGAAACCTTCTACCACTCGCCTTGTTGCTTTGATCTCTGGTTTCTCCATTCGAAGTAAACCCTAACTTGCTCTGCCTCAGTGCCTCTGGTTTAGGATTTTTTGAGAAACCATTGATTTCAGATTTAGATTGGACTTTTGGACTCAATGGATATGTCCAATTCAGTCTACTAAATATACTGGACCATTAAATCTGGACTGGTTCAATCCAATCCAATACTTTGGACTGTCCAAATTGTTTTAATTGGGTTGGGTTAGAAATGTTTAAAATGCTGGTGTTGGTGGAAATGTCAGTCATCCATAAATAGGAAACATGTTGGAAATGTCAGAAATATCATATGGAAATATTGTAAAAATTATAGCCATGGTGTAAACATTGTAAAATATGCAAAAATATAGAATGGTGTTTTATGAAATGATAAAAGAAGCAGGGCAATACTTGGCCCCTACCCCTTTTGAGGACATGCATCCCACTACCTCTTCATTTTCAGATTTAAACCTTGAAACCTACACCCTACAATCTAAACTCTAAACCCTTAAGCCCTAAACCTTAAACTCTGTAATCTAAAGTCTAAACCCTTAAACCCTAAAGCCTAATTCCTAAACCCCTAAACCTTAAATATATTGTATAAAATGCCTTTAGTAGGACACGTCATCCAGAAGGGTTATAGACAAAGAAGCATAGTATTATAATTCGAACTGCCTTTGAGTTCTGTTAGTCTGATAACAGCCAAGAAGAGAGAAGAAGAAAGAAGAAAGAAAGAGAGAGAGAAAGGAGGAGAAAAGTCTGGTTCGAATAAGGGAAAAATCACTTCTCCCATTTGGCCAGACATGTTTTATATTACTAACATAATGGAAAAGACACATGTGCCCTTA